TGATGATGAGTGTGGAAAGTGTGCGGTATTTAAGGAGAGTGCAAGGATGTGATTGGTGGAAAATTTGGAGAAGGGATGAGTAAAATCCTGGCTTCCGATTGGTCCGGCGCTGTAAGTTCTCGCCGGTGAGCTGTGATTGGCTCGGGGATCCCGGCGGGGAAATTTCCGTCGTGACGTCACGGGCGCCAGTCAGGCGGACGAGGGATTATGGACGCCAGGTGATGATGAGGGATTAGGACGCATGGAGGATTATTGCAATAAACGGGTCATGAGGTTTGTGATACGGAAATGGATTTTTAATGTGGGAATTGGCCCAATGTCTCGACAGGAAAATTGGGGAATTGGCCCAATGTCTAAAGAGGAAAATTGAGTGTGTGTATGTGTGTGCGTGTCTGAATGACAGAGATGTAGTGGAGACACAGTCACCACACTATACTAACTAAATTGTCGTCTCGTCCAACTTCAGATTGTTCACTCTCTATCACCTCGGTTGATGATTCTACTATTTGCTCGCCACTTTCAATTGGGATTTCTTCATCCGAAAATTCATCTAGCTTAGCTGTGACACTACGCTTTATATATTTTGTTATCTCAGTCTCACCTCCTACCATATTGGCTATAACTCGTCTAGTTGTATTCTTCTGGAATTGTTTACTGACCTGACTATACTTATTTATTTCCAAATCTATAATCCAATATGGTTTTCTATACACACCGGAGATAAATAATTCATTAGAATCTGGGTTACATATGTCTATTCTTTTGTCGTCCAGATAAATCCCAAGACCTATACCACGATTCTACGAAACGTCTTAGTGACAGTAAGTTAGCTTGAAGAGCATCAGCAAATATAACCTCGTCTATCACAAATTTCTTTCCATTTAACAGTTCGATTTCTACCTGATCTACTCTCTCCGTTTTCAAGTCCGCATTTTCATTTTTATTTGCACATTTAATCACACCCTTTGTTTGCTCGTCAATCGACTTGAATATTAGCTTCGAACTTGTTAAGTGCTCAGTAGCACCAGAATCTGCTAGAAATTTAGTGATAAACTTATTTTTATGGAGATTTACTCCCGCATGCATTACCTGACCTACACATGGTTCATCATTCACGTCTATGTATTCTTCTGAACAGTTCTCAATTGACTCACCCTTTTCTTTGTTATCTGTTCCTGAGGTTTTGCTTGAGTCTTCGTTACTGATTTTTGTATGGACTTTGGACATAGAATACCTGTTGTCTCCTTTGCCTATTGGCTTGTTAAATCGACCCTTTTTCCCACCTCTAGCGTCATTCGCATTATTTGACCTTCTCTTCAATGACCCGATTGCACGCCCAGATCCACGAAAAAGTCTTCCACGCGAACTGTTATTTTTAGTATCTACTTTTGACTTGTATGCCTCACCTAATTTTGGACAGTCGACCAAAGTGACCAAAACCTCCACACTCGAAACTTCTCGCACTTTGAACTGCAAAGTTTGCGGTTCTTACCTCACCGCTATTAGACTCGTCCTGTTTCCTGATCGCTTCTTCCTGTCTCATAACAGTTGCAATTGGTCATAAGTCAGGGGTGGCTCATTTTTTATTTTGGCTGAGGACTGTTACAACTGTACCATTGGTACATACTTAATAATGGCATTATTAAACGCGTCTCTCTTCTCCTCTGCAGACAAAGAGGTGACATCAGGTGAATTTACGTAATTACTAATAGCTTCTTCACATTTATCGCAGAACTCACCAGCTGTACATTTAGTAATATCATACCTCATGTTTGTAATTTCTAGTCTTACAGAGGCTGAGGAAATGTTGTTCTCATATTTCTTGATTTCTTTGAGTTTCTTTAATATTTCAACAGGATCTTGCATTGATACTCCTTTAGAATGATAATTTTCATTTATGTGATTAATCAATATATCTCTCAATTCGAATTTATGCTCGTCCAAAGTCTTTTGATCTCTAAATTTTACACTACTATCTATAA